AGAGAGTTAAGAAATTCAACAGGATACAAATGTTCTGCCTCAGCCTGTTCTTCAACCATATCTGCACTAAGATACTCAACAGCGTCTCCTGGAAATTGAGTCATAATTATATCATTAATAGCATTAAGGGGCAAGAATTGCACGCTCAACTAAATATTGTGAATTGGTATGTGATGAAAATCTAGAATATACAAACTGAGTTAAGTCAGTTAATTCTTCAGATGATAAAACAATGTCACCAGGAAGCTGAATAATAATAATGTTTTTCTCAGGTCCAACAGCAGGAATAGTTATTCAATATAAATTTGTTAAATTATTTTCACTAAAAAATTTTTTGACCAACAAAATGTGCGCATTTTTTATGTAACACGCGCGCCCGCATTCAATTTCACACTGGAAGAAGGCTTAATTTAATGTCAACGTGTAAAAATTTTTGATCTCGCGTAGCACGGCATGCGTGATCGTGTAACAGGTAAAAAAGCAAAAAGCTCAAGTTGCGTTCTCAGCTGTAAACTTTTCTTAATTTCAAAAAAATGAATATTTCTCCTGATCCTAAAAGTATTATTAAAAAATTGGAAGCTTTGTCCAAAGACATTTCCTCAATTAACATTAGTGATCTGATAAATGTTTTTAAAACTATAATAATTAAAACTCAAACGAGCATTGAATACAGGTTAGTTGAATTTACCATTTTTACAATAAATAATATTAATTGTTTTGTATTGTTTAGAAAAGAAATTGGGCAAAATGAAAATTTTTGGAGAGTAACTACAGAAATATTTTCATGGGCAATGAAAGAATTATCAACAAAAGAAGATTCTTTAATTTTACCATTAATCCTTCAATTAATACAAACATTTCGTAATGTCATTGCTCAAATACAAGAAAATCAAAATCAAGCATTGTACGTTTCAATCAAGCTATGGATTTAGATAGAGTAAACCTTACTAATTTCACCATTATATCTCATTATTTATTTAGTAAACATGAATGGAATAAGAAAACCGAAGTTATTTTATGGCATGTTTCTTCAAAATTGAAACCTAACGGTGAACCTAATGAATGTTCGTTGGTGACGATTTGTTAATTGTACTTTTTTATTTTTTATTCTTTAGTGAAATTTAAAAATTTTCTTCTCTCATAAATGATTTTTTAGTTCTTCTAATTATCAGAAGTGGGATACAAGCATTATCAAATATTATAACAGCTAATGATTATACTAAAAGATTGATTTTATCAGAATATATGAATAGAAATGAATCAAGAGACCTTTTAAGGTAAATCAAACAACTAGGGTATAGTGAATTATTATTATTATTTATTAATCATCATAATTTATTATTCTTTCTTTTAGTACGTTGGTGTCATTCGATGATACGATTTTATTGAAAAGTACATTGATATTTATTTATAATTGTATATTTAAGAATAAATTACTCAGGTAAAACCTTTTAAATACGAGTCTTATTATTATTATTCCCCCAAATATTTCTTTTCTAACTTTTTTTATTGTTGTAATGATAATTAATAATTTCATCAGTGATATTTTTATGAAATCAAAAATAGGTATGAATTTGTTGAAAACTTTTTTGGAAAAAACAGATTCTCTTTTTAATTGTAATAGTGGCGAACAATTTGTGGAAATAGTGTTTGTATAAAATATATGCATACATATTGGCATTTAAAAAAATTTTTTTTTTGTATATTTATGCTAATTCATCATGTCCAAATTTTACGTTTAGATATTCTATGGTATCAAATTTAATTAACTTTGGTTATTATCCAATCATGTTTGATTATTTAACGGATTCATCCAGGTAAAAATTTTTTTGACTTTTACTTGTATATACGTACAAGAAAATGAATCATTGTTAAAATTACTTTTTTAATATAGTCAGATTCCGTCAAAGAATCAATTAGTTTTAATTAAGTTTCTTGAGGCAATGTTTGACACAACATCAACAATTGTTTCAGAGAATATCAAAATTACTGAAGATAACGATTCAACAACAATAAATAATTTTTCAGTTAATTCTTGTATATCTCTTGCGAAATCATTAAATAATATATCTCCAACAGTAATATCAATTCTGATATATAGTAGTAGTAGTAGCAATAATAATAATAATAATAATAGATCAGAAAAACCAACTTCATCATCACCACCAACAGTACCAGTAACAAGCAAACTTTATGATGATGATGGAATATCACATTTATTAAATGTATTGACTTTGATTTTACAATGTATTGCGGCTTTAACTTGTAAATGTGATAAACAATTACATGAATGTTTATTTAAGGAAAATGTTATCGAATGTTGTATAAGTAAGGATATGAATATTTCAATTTTTCTTTTGGAGAAATATTATATATTTAAAAAAAATCTCGTCTCTTGATCTTATTTTTTTTTTTTCAATCGTTGTATATAATAGATCTTTTAAATCAAGCCGATAAATCTATTCCACGTATAACGAAAGCAGCAACATCAAATAATGATCATTCAGAATTACGATCTTCACCTTCATCGCCACGATTAACAACATCATTGAATCCAAAAATATTTATGAATATTAAAAAAGATTTAGTTAATGTTATAAGTTATATGTCTTATGATAACATTAAAGTTCAAAATAAAGTATGTTGATTATTTATTTTTTTTAATATACGAGCCCGTCGATCTTAATATTAATTAAAAATTTTTTTTTTGAATTGAATTTATTTAGGTACGTAAATTAGGTGGAATACAATTGATCCTAAATCAATGCAACATTGATGACAATAATCCATGTAAAGTATCTCTTTAATCATACAATCAGACCTCTGTATAGATATAGTCACACTATCGGGAACATAGTATTTTTTTTTTTGAAACTATGCTTATAAAGGTTTTTATACGATGTTCTTATGTAGAGAGAGGGCTCTCATATGGAGGTCTGGGTGTAATAATAATGTAATTATTATATGCAAATTCACTAATCATATTTTATAATTAGTTATTCGTGAACATTCTATATTTGCAATTCGTAACCTTCTTCATAATAATCTCGAGAATCAAAAACTTGTTCAAGAATTATCACCAATTGAAGTAATGCAACATCCTATACTGTCAGATATAGGAGTTACGACAGAATTTGATACTAACAATAAAATTAAAATTAAATCATTGAAAAATGAAAAATAATAATTTTAATTATTAACTTTATATTTATTTTTTTTTTTAGCATAAATTCTTATTTATAAAGAGGAATATATATATAAAGGTATGAATGAAGTTTGATTATTATTACAGAATAATAATGAATTAAAAATACATATATATAATTTAAGTGCGGTGTGTATATATATATGTGTGTGTGTGTATGTGTGTGTGTGTGTGCATATATGTATATATTTATATAAATGAATACGTGTTGTATATTTATAAAATGCGTGTTTATCTAATTCCAAAACAAAATCATCTATAATTAATATATGCTATATATTAATAATATATATATGATAATTTTTTTTTCAAAAACTTATATAATTACCTTTTAATAAATAAGATTAACAATAATAAATAACACGGCAATTATTTTAATTGGATGATAATGTTTTTTGTAATTCCAATGACTTAAAAAGTTCTACAATTTCAAGAAATGAATCACCAGTCGATCTTACTTGTGATTGATGTCCATTATTATTATTTGTATTTGATGATGACGATGATGACTTATTATTATTACTGAAAGATGTTGATGATAATGTTGATGTTGAAAATTGACCGCCGCCACCACCACCATTATTATTATTTGTAGAAGCTTCCTCATTAACCAATTGATTAAAGTGGACAAATTGTTGAAGAATATTAATAAGTGAGCCAAAAGAGCGATCTGGAAGTCTATGTAATTAATATATAAATATGATATCATATCCATTACGTTAAGGAATAATAACATAAAATTTTTAATTATTAAAATTATTTCATTCTTGATTTTATTATAATTTAAATAAAAGGATATCAATTATCAGTAATTGGTTATTTTTGTTATCCTTGATCAATAGACCAAGTAATATTGCCATATAAGCTGCTGCAATGTTGCTATCAGTCTATACAATGATATGCCAATAATATATTTAATAACAATGATAATTGGTCATTAATAATAATTGAATAATTACCTCTTCTTCGCCTTTATGTATTTGGTAGTTATATAAATTTACTAAACATGTTAATGCTGATTCTCTGGCGAAACATTTACAAGTACGAAGACATTTATAAGATCCGGAACATTGTGGATTTTGTTCTGTAACAACAACAACAACAACAATAATCAACATCGTTAATTTAGATATAAAAATTTTTTTTTTGCAAAAAAAAAAAAAAAAATACTACACACCAACTTTACTGAATACATTTTGATTGTTAGGATCCATTTCAACCAAATTAATAAGCAAGCCAATACTGAGTAACAATACATCAAAATTATCAACTAATTTCTCGCTATTTATCTGAACAGATTTATTTTTGTTGTTGTCGTCGTTGTTTTTGTTGTTGTTGTTACTGCTGCGGTTGTTGTTGTTTTGTTTTTGTCGTCGTCCCTCTTCAATCAATTTATCATAATTTGAAATTTGGCCAACAATGGCTAATCTCATCAAAATTGAAATTCCATCAAATCCTCCAATATATTGACAACATGATTGATTATCATTTGTAAGATTAATTAATACTCGAAGACTACCAAGTAAACATTCCATGGCTACATGAATGAATTTAAGAAATTAATTAAACAAAAAAACTTTAACACAAAAATCATAGAATGATTTTATACCATTGTTATTACCTGATGATAATACTTGTGAATTTATATTAAAAGCTTCTACATGACAATACAACAAAAATTCTAAAAGCATCTTCAAAAATTCTTTATTTTCTTCAACAATATGCATTTGGTTTTCGGTACAAAATAAAGTTGCATTCTCTAGGATTTTCAAACAATGAATTATTTGCCTAAAATTCAATTTAATCTTTGATGTAGAAGGCTAATAAAATTTAAATATGTGTAAAAAGAAAGGATATTAATATATTTATGTAAAAAAAATTTTATTCAAAATACAAAATTACCTTATTCTTTTTGATATTGATCAATAAGACACTAACTAATTCAAACTCTAATTTCAAAGCATTTATAACCAACGATAATCCTCCAGAAGCCCTTAATTTCCTTTTTATTAGTGATTCATTACGTGTTCTAGATGAAGTGATTGATGATAGAGTTCGAAGTGCTATTGCTTTAAGTGAGATCTGTTTTACATGTAAAAATTTTTTTACATAATCACAATTACATTAATATCTACACAAATATTTACACAACGCATCTATTATATTAATAAACAAAGAAAATACCTGTGATTTATCTGTGAAAATATTTGATTGAAAGATAATATCTCTTAGATCATTGACCTAAAAATTCAAAATAATTGTCAATCTCAATCAAAAAAAAAACAATAATCATTTAAAAAAAGAAATGACATACCAGCTTCTTTTCATATTTTTCTAACGAACGATTATTATTATCAATAAAAGGGTCATACGAAACGTCAATTGAGTTTATAATCATTTCTAATAAACCATGTTCAAGTAACAAAGACTCCGAGTTATGTTTATCCTCCATGAATAAGCAAATAATAAACAAAAGGCAACATTTTATAAACTGTAAATAACAATTTTAAAAAGTAAGTATTTTGATTTTAAGTGTTTGTTTAATGTAATAATAAATGATAGAAGAATATGACAAAAGACTTACAGTATCTTTGTGCGCAATTAGATTTGAATAGATTTTTGGGATGTAATTGTGAGCACGGATTTTAAGAAGAAACTCCTTATTTAATAATTTTTGTGCTAATTCCATACCACTTTCAAAAAAAGCAAAAACATTTTACATGAATATTAAAAATTTTATCTCTTTTTTGTTTTTCTCTCATATATGCATACATATATGTATTTATACCTAGTTCTGCGCACATTCAATGGTTGGCTTGATCGTAAACCATCAAGAATATAATTCATTTCATCCGTGAATCTAGAATTTTCGCCCACTTCACGAAGAACATGTGAAGTTTTTGCTTCTTTCTGATTATTATTAGATATCTAAATATGGAATATATATGTATAATATCATGTAATTTATCATTATTATTATTATTAAAATATTTGAAAAATTAAAATATCTAACCAAATTATCTTCTTCTTCCTCTTCTTGTACGCTAAATTTGGATTTTGGAGGAGGATCATAAAAATCCATAAGCATCATATCGTTGTTTCTACCTAATATAGTACGTCCTTGGCCATAAGTTTTTAATCCACTAATTACAACATTGCTACTGCTATTATGCATATTAATATTATTATCACATGATGATGATGATGACGATAATGACGATAATGGCGGTGAAGAAGAACTTGTAAATTCCATCATAGTATTACTATTGTTATTATTAGTGGACGTGATAATCATAGCTTTCGTTGAGGACAACCCAAGTGATGATGATGGTGGTAACGATAAATCAAGATCGCATTTTAAATTTAAATCCAAGATTGAATTATTATCTGAATAGTGGTTATGTGGCTTCAAGCCAGTTGTAGTTGTTGATGTTGATCTAGTATATATTGTTGGTGATGATGATGATGAATTGATGCAAGGACGAAAATATGATGATGACGTTGATGGTGATGATAAATATTTATTTTGTTTTGGTGAGGTTGCTGTAGGCTTGGACATTTTAGCAACCAAGTTTTGTTTACGAGAACCAGGTGATGATGGCGATAAACTTTGTGATGTGGTGGTGGTGCTTACTACATTAACGGTATCAATTTTTTCTTCTTGATAATAAGGAAAAATGGATAAGGGGGAAGAAACGCATTTTGTTGTTGACATAGTTGTAGTTGTTTTAGGAGCTTTAGATAAAAAGGGTTTGTTAAATTGTTGTTGTTTTGTAGGTGATTTATTTTTTGAGGAAAGTTTATTGCTAACATCATTAACAATAGTAGTTTTTGGATTTATTTTTTCAATTAATTTGGATGTATTCATGGATTTTTTATTTAATCTTTTTATCGGTGATTCGGTGGTAATCATTAAAGAATTTAACGATTTTCTTCTTCTACTATTACTATTATTATTACTATTAGTTTTAGTTTTCAATGACTTATTAACATTGTCATCAGACTCAGGAAAATCGAAAATATCTGATTCGTTTTTTTTCAATTTATTATTTTTGTTATTATTATTATTATTTTCATTTATGCTGGATTTATTTTGTGTTTTTTTCGAACCGCGTAAACTGTAAACTGAGGTCATAATGTATATTATGTTATATAATTCCAAAATTTTTTGATTTATTGTGCAAGTGTGTATTAGTATATTAAAAAGTATTTTTTTTCAATTGCAGATTGTCGTACAAAATTTACGTGTAACATCCATGAAAACGACGATCCTTCAATTTTTTATTGGGGACGTATTTCCAGATATTCGAAGCTGTATATCCTTTTTTCTCCAAAAATCCTTCTCCTTATATCCGTTCTATGTAGTACGACTAGAAACAGTTTCAGAAGTAGCAACGCGTTCCAGTTAAAACAAGCTCTATAAATAATTATTTCAATCCAATTAATTAGTATTAAAACATAATTCTTTTTACGCGGGTCCAAAAGGTAAATTTTTTATATAGACATTTTTTGATAGGCATTTTTTATTTAAAATATCCAAAAAATCTTTTATTTTTATATTAGAAATTTTCTTATGAGAAATCTCCTAAATGTTTAAGAAATGATTAAGAAAAAAGAATGAATTTTCTAGATATTTTTCAGTAGACATTTTTTTATATTAATTTTTTAGATATTTCTAAGCATTTTTTTTAGTAGGTGCTTTTTATAATAAAATTTTATTAATTATATGAATAAATAAGTAAACTTTTTTTTTATAAGGGTGATCGTCTTTTTTATATGTCGTGCGCGTAATCATTTCATCTTATAATATTTTAAAGTCTGTAACAGTATCATAAAATCAAGAGATATTAGATAATTATATTAATGAATATGTAAAAACTTATGAATCTCAAAAAAGAAACCATAGGTAAGATTTTTTAATTTAAAGGAGAATCTAAACATAATGGGCCATTATTATTATATCATAGGTTACTAGAATTAGAATTTAGTGATACCTCAGCCTTTTTTTTTTTTAATTAATAATAATCAATTACAATTAATTGATCAATCCATCATATTTAAGGCTCCAAACAGATCGGATCTTATTAAATTGCAATCTGTTTTAAATCAGGTCGGATCGGATCGGATCAAAACTAGATCAGATCAGATTTTGAATCAGATCAGATAAAATTCTTAATTCATCATTTCTTTCATAAATGATTTTTTATAAATTTTATTATTATTATATATACATAATATCTCAGATCGGATCAGATTTCAGATCAGATCAGATTCAGTATTAAAGAACCAGATCAGATCGGATCGGATCCAATATTTTAAAAAACCAGATCAGATCAGATTAGCTTAAACAGATTTCAGATCAGAATCGAATATTTTATAAAATTTCTAGTGGATTTTCAGGCTTAACTGCAGATCATGGAAAATATGGGCAACAATATATAGATTATGTTGCAATTTTTCATTGATGCTTTAAATTTGTGGTATAAACAAATTATTTCAATAGATGATATAGAAATAGGACATTCTTTTATGGTTAAATGTTTACAATTAGCAAAAGAGCTATATGGTTGGGAATTATAACTATTAATGCACACATGCATATCCATTTAAAAGATTGTATATTGGATTATGGTCCTTTTTACGGTTTTTGGTGTTATGCATATGAACATATGAATGGTAAATATAATTTATTTTTTTAATTTTAATATTAATAGCTTTTTATTTTATTTTATTTAAAATTAGAATTTTAGGAGAAATACGAACATCTGGACATACAATTGAAGTTGGAGTAATTAAATTTATTAACTGAATAGCAAAATACATTTATTATGCAAATGAGCAGATACAATTTTGCCAAAAAGTTTTGCAACATCAGTTAAATCACTTTTAAGTCATAAAGAAAATAATAAAGGAACTTTGGAAATTATGGATTTTCAATACAAGAAGCTTGGGAATTCTTTAAGCTATCATTGAAATTTGATTTTAGAAAAATAATTGGTACAGAACCAATTCCTGGTGAACTTTTCCCACCTCTTACTATGTGTCATTTAGAATCAGAATTAATATCACGTTTGGTTTCTTTTTATAATGATATATATTTAGAAAAAGGGTAATTTTTTATTCTGGAAAACAAAATCAAACAGGACTTAATCAAGTTCATGTAAATTCTTTAATTACAAAGGAAAATTTCGAAATGTTTCCATCAGTAGGTTGTAAATCAGATCTTAATGCTAATATTATTGCACAATTTTTAACCGAGAACAAAGAAGTTGTTTGTTATCCAGGAGTAGTTAATTATTATTTTAAGCATTCTGTAAAGCTTCCTTGGTGGATAACAGAACATATTCATTGCTATATTAGTTGGTTTAAATCACATAAAGAGAGAGATTGGTTCCATATAGAATCAGAATTACAGGAAAAAAAATGCATAATGTAGAACTTTGGGGACAGTTAGATAAAGCATTAACTTAAGAAAGCATTCTTCCAGTACAAAGAATTTTTAGTAAATTTGTAAAAGGAAGTTATACTCTTCCTGGACATAAAATTCCTTCTACTGTGGTAATTCCTTTAAATAGAAAGTTTAATCTTTAATAAAATGAATTATTGTTATATATGCGCTATAATTAAATAGTATATTTTGCTATTAATGTTTTTAATAAGGATTTAAAAAAATCTTTATTTTTTTATATAAAAAAATGCTTACTGAAAAAATACATTCTTTTTTCTTAATCATTTCTTTGAATTTCTCATAAGAAAATTTCTAATATAAAACAAAAGATATTTCCAAAGGTTTATTTATAAAAAATGTCTATCAAAAAATATCCAAGAAATTCATCAAATTTCTTAGATATTTATAAAAAAGTTTCCAAGAAATTTACTTTTTGGACCCGTGCCAATTATACGACAATAACGATTTCAAAGCCGCCAACTCTTGTATTTTCTGGTATTCAACCTACTGGTATTCCACATATAGGAAACTATCTCGGAGCAATTTCAAATTGGGTCTCTTTACAAGAGAGCCCTAAAGCCACAGCAAAAAACCCAACGATCACTACCACCAATGATAATAATGATACAATTACGAATCCTCAGCAGACAATGTATTCAATTGTTGATTTACATGCTTTAACGCTACCACAAGTTCCAAAACAATTAAGGAAGAATAAAATTGAAATGACAATTGCATTATTGGCATGTGGAATTGATCCAAAAAAATGCATATTGTTTGAACAATCACGAGTGACCGCGCATGTTGAATTAGCTTGGATATTTAATTGTATTACTTCTGTTGGATGGTTATCGAGAATGACTCAATGGAAGGTATTAATGATATTATTATTAACTAAGAAAAGTGTATGTAATCATTAATAATAATGATTTAATATTAGTCCAAAATGGAATCAAACAAAAATTTTCAATCAATAAATGAAGACGTTGTTTTTTCACCCGGTTTATGCTTGGGATTATTTTCATACCCAGTACTACAAGCAGCAGATATTTTAATTTACAAGTATGCTTATAGTTCAGAAAAAAATTTTTTTTTTTTTTGGTTTTTTCTCTAATATATCTTATATATTTTTAAGAGCTACACATGTACCAATTGGAGAAGATCAAGTTCAACATTTAGAATTGACAAGAGATATTGCACAAAAATTTAATAAAATGTATAAAACAAATATATTACCATTACCACAACCTATTATCAGTAAGTAATATCTATACACACACACACGCATACATTCATATATATACATGAATACATACATATATGTGTTTTATTAGAAGACAATAAAATTATTCAAATTATATTGAAAACAAAAATTCTCCAATTTAAGCATCAGCCAAAAAAATAATGTCACTTCGTGATCCTACAAAAAAAATGTCCAAATCAGATTTATTAGATCAATCACGGATCAATTTAAATGATTCAGCTACAACAATTTCCTCAAAGATTAGAAAATCTGTTACAGATACCACACAAGGAATAACATTCGAGCCAACAACTAGACCTGGCATATCCAATCTTGTAAGTATTTTTGCTGCAATAAAAGGATCAAGTGTAGAACAAATTGTTGAAGAATTTAGAACAAGTGACACCAAAACATTTAAAGATGCTTTAGCCGACACATTGATCGAAAGATTAGTTCCAATTCAAAAAGAGATTGAACGTTTAAAACTTGATGAAAGTTACATTCAACAGGTATTGAAAGATGGAGCTGACAGAGCTTTCGAAATTGCAGAAAAAAATAAAAAAGAAATCTATAGACATGTTGGATTGATAAATTAAGTAATTTATATATATATATATATATTCATACATACCTGTACCTTTCTCAGAAATACAATAAAGAAAATTTTTTTTCTTGGAAATATTAAGATTAAATTAATGTCCTCTAATAACAGTAATTAAATTAGATTACATTTTTGAAAAAATAAAGTTGCACGAATTTAAATATGTATGAGGTTCTATTTAATAGAATGATATCTTTCTAAATAAGACCCATAAGTACTATATTCAATAATATAAGCTTTATTACCATTAGCAGCCACCGTAAGATCAGTTAAAGGTAATAAAATTTATACATAACTTTATTGTCTATTGGATTTGCCAGAAATTTATATGAAGAGAGGAAATTATCAAAATCAGAGAGCATACAGAAACAAGGTAAATTTCAGAAAATTAATTTAATACCAGTAACGTGTCATATCTTTACTTTAAGATTTTCTTCTTTATCTGTTAATTGCTTCTTTAAATTTTCATTTTCTTCTAATAGTTGTTTATTACTTTCTTGGAGTTCACTTATAATGTTTGTCATGACTTTCTTTTTTTTTATTTATTCTTTTAATATACTTATATCCTTTTATAAGGACATATTAAGTATATAATTATTTTAGCACTTTTTACTTTAAAGGTGGAAAAAGCTAACAATATTTGTCAAAAGATTAAATTAATTAAATTTAACGACAGTAAAGGCAAATTAATTAGTGATAGAGGTGATTTTATTCTGGGTATTTTATTTGTTACCAATACAGAATGGTCTTGGACAAGTAATATCTTTGTATTCATCTTTCACAAATAGGTGAATATTATTATAAAGGTATTCTTGTCTTTTGTAATCCAAAGGAGGTGATGTTAACACTAAAATAGATAAAGCTCTAATTTCTTCAAAAATATCTGCTTTCTTGGCTTTCAATAAATTGAATTCAACAAAAGGTTCATTAGCAACTTCTTGAACTTTGACCACACCAAGGTTAGATGCTTCAAAAAGAAAATGTTGATATTTCTGGATACTTGGTAATTTCTTAAAATAAATTCCCAAAATAGCTTTAATATCTAAGTGTTGAAAACCTTTTCCACCTTCATAACATTGGGTTTGATTCAATCCTGCTGGACTAGACTTTTTTATTACCTCAACCATATGACCTAGATAATCTACCCTTGTTTTTCTGTAGAGTTTTTTTATTAAACCAAAATTACCATTACATTTAAATTTGGTATGTCCTGGAATCATGAAATTCAATTCAATACTTTCATAATATCCACAAATTACTAAATATAAATAAAATCAAATAGTAGTGTTATTTTTATTCTGACCACCAGCATTATCACAAGTAATCTTTAAATGCTTTTCACCTTTATTCAATTTCTTAATTCCATCAAAAATCATGCT